TCTAGTTCCTCTGCCCATGTAGGCGGGGCTGTCGCTTCTGTGTAGCCCCCACGCCGCCCCTCCGGCGGGCCCATCTCTGCTCGTAGCGGGCGCTATTGCTGGCCGGTGACCTCCCCAGCGCCCTGTCCCACGCACACGCCACCCGCGCCTCTGCAGGGGAGGCTGCTGCTGCTCCTGCCATCTCTACCTTACACCTGTCCGGTGGGGGGAGTGGTCTAGTCCTTGCAAGCAGCTTCCGTGTCCAAGCCCGAGACTGAGATGATGCTGCTGTCTGGGGACAGGGCTTGCTGTGTCATTAGTGCTTCCAGTGCATGTGGGAATTCCGTGGGGACCCCAGCCCAGGGATCCTGGAGCTGTAGTGGGGTCATTTTGAGCCGGAGTCCAGGGATTGTGGTCTGCCATGGAGCCATCTTCTGTCCTTTCCTCTTGGAGGAGGCGATAGCAGCAGACCAGGGCATATGGTCCCAGTGCAGCGTCCTGCTGGCAAACAGCTTCTCCCCAGATATTCAGATCCAGGTTCTCTGCGCTGCAGAAAGTAGAAGCAAAGGGAATGGTAAGGGTGTGTTGGGCAAAGATTTGGGGGCCTGCAGCCCGGCTCTGGGGTTCAATCCCCTTTCAAACCAACAGGGATCTCCTGGCACCCTCAGGCAGCACGAGGCCAAGCTCCTTATGATGGTGCCCTGCCCAGAGTTCCAGAACACCTTCTCCAAAGTCTTCACCCGTGCTGAGCAGTGGCATTTCTGTAGGAGTGAAGATGAGCAGGAGCATGGGGCACTCTTGGATGATTTGCGCTATCTGCATTGGTTTGCCTTGCTGGAAATCCCAGACCTCAACTCACCTGGTCTAGCTCAAGTAAGCTGTGTGCTGGCTGAGTCATTGAGGAAAGGTGACATGCTGTTTGCCTGTGGTTCCCCTTTTGGTTCATTTTGCCCAGACATTTTCATTAACACTCTTAGTAAAGGGATAGTGAGTAACCTAGCTGGAGAAGGCAATGTCCTTATTCTGACTGATGCTCGTTGCTTGCCTGGCACCGAAGGAGGAGGGGTCTTTGTGTTCTCTGAAGATGGTTTTAACCTAGTTGGAATAATTGTGGCTCCACTTTGTTGGAAGGCCAATGAGTGGGTTGGATTGACGTTGGTTTGTTCAATTGGCCATATCCTGGAGAATGTCAGGAGTGCCTTGGTTGGGTCTGGAAGTTCTATGAAAACCTGGTGGCCTCCTGTGCAATTGGTTGCTAAGCCTGTTGGGAAGATGGCAGTTAGCCCTGGGCCTGCACAGCATCTCCTGTCTGCAGTGGTGTTGGTGGAATGTGGTCAAGTCTGGGGATCTGGAGTGGTGGTCAGTTCAAGGCTAGTGTTGACCTGTCGACATGTGGTGAATGAAGCCTCGGGTGTCTGTGTAAGGGTACAGCACAGCCCTGAAAAGTAAGTCTTGATTCTTGTTTTTGTTTATCTTTGTTTAATAGTCAGTAAGTAGGACAATGCAATTGACGTGGTAATGCAATAATCTGCAACGTGCCATACACTGCAGCCTATAGCCTCTTCCTTAAATGACCGCTTTGAGGTTTCTAATAAAACTCTTCTGCATCTCCTAACAAACACTGCCATCCAAATATTTGAGCAACCTGGCAGTTCTGGATAATAGGCGTGAAATGGCCAGCGTGTTCCATATCAAACACTAACTGACCCAACCACGCGTATACCCAGCATTGAGTTGCCATGCTATTCATGGCCCTTTCTGAACCTATACAGTATGGGCCAGGGTCATTGTGCAGCCAGCCTTCAAACCTGGGGCTAATGAGAGGATCCCACATTTTGGATGTGCCAAAGACGGAGAATATCACGCATTACTCACGACTGCCCTTTGACCAGATGTGATGGTCGTCTGAGGCCTCTGCACTTTGCTGATGAGGCTGTTGCAACTTAGCTTGGCAACCTCTGCATTTGATAAGGTATCAAACACTTGTATCACTATTCTCTGCATCTCTTTTATACATTCTTCCAGAGGTCAAATATGTTCTATGAATTAAAATTACTGTCAGTCTGTCCCTGGTGTTTATCAATATGGTTCTCACCTGATCACATATTTTAGCCTAATGTGTGAAGGGATACTATATTCAAAAATCTACTTGGCTTTACACTTAAAACAATTACACTGTATAGCAAGCAGTGCAAATCACAAATTTCAGAGAAGCATGCAAGACAACTTGCACAGTATGCTATCAACTAACCAAACAAGCCATGTATTAACCTGGAGAAATTTCAGTATTCTGTAAACAACTTATTGCCAAAGCTCTTTAACTAAAAGCACTTTGGATTAAGAGGAAGTTATCATTTATTTTATGAAGTTCACTTTGGTACTGCAGCAGTGAGAAGGTTCAAATTTGAAGACTCCCAGCTAATACCTTATTCATGGGCCCCAGGCAGATTGCTACTGAAAGAGTGAGCATCTCTAGAACCCTGCGCAGATACAAAATTTGTATCCGCATCTCATCTGCAGACCATGTTTGTGGATAGCCACAGATTTGCAGGGCTCTAAGCATCTCCTGTCCCTCTCTAGTACCTCCAACACCCAACTTGGGAGTAGCATAGATAGCCTGTAGGGAAAACGCCTAGAGGTGCAACTGGAGGGTGGGAGGGGAATCAAACTCAGATGTAGGGAAGAATGAGGCTGCAATCCTCAAAACTACAAGAGAGCTTCTGCGAACCCCCTGTGGTAGAGAAGGTGAGTTATTTAGAATGTCTGTACAAAAGTGACTCTTCTGATAGACTTGCATGCAACTTTTTAGGCTTTGTTCTGAATCGCGCTCCTGTTGTAGTCAGTATGTCAGTAATAGTGATCGCTGCTTGGACTATTAACACGTGTCTGACTGGGAGTCAGTCCAAGATCAGAGGCTCACTCTGAAGAGTTTCCGTTCTCTGACCAGGTCCCTATCTCGTGGTCATACCTGTTGCAGATGGCATTCTTAATATCCCTTTTTTGTGTCTTATTTTTCTAATCGAAAAAGGCAGACTCTCTGCTAGTGTGACTCTAAGTTGAATTTTATGTCTTATCCTGTTGAGTGATGCATTCCTTCCCCTGCTTTCTGTTCTAAATGTTTCTTCATGCATCTGGGGTGCAGTCTCGGGTAAGTGACATTCTAGGTTGCTGGATCTAAGGACGCTTTGTCAGGTGGTTTAAAATGATCCCTTCCCTGTTGCCTTCAAAAGAGCTTTACTATTTTCAGTGCAACCTAATGCCATTGTGTCCCACCTGATAACCGGTGCAAGGGATACAGGGGACTGCCTCAGCACTTCTAAAGAGGAGCTGAGGCAGCAGCAGTAAAAGAATCTGAAGCTCAGCTCAGAACTGAGGGCACTGGGCAGGAGACAGTTGGGCCCTGCAGGATGTGGTACTGGGACAAGTAGGGGACCACATGGATTGCTGAGGTCAGGGCCGGCCTTAGCAAGAGCAGGGCCCGATTCCTGGGGGCGGGGCTTGCCGGGCCCCGCTCGGGCTGGGGTCGCGGGGTTTTGGTCCGGGCCGGAGCCGCCGGGGGGGCCGGGGGTGCTCGGCCGGGGCCGGAGCCGTGGGGCCCGAGCCGGGCCGGGGGTGCTCGGCCGGCACCGCTTGGCTGGGGCCGGGGCCGGCGCCCCGGGGCCTGAGCCAGAGCCGCCAGGGCCTGAGCCAGAGGTGTCCGGGCCGGGGGTGCTCGGCCGGAACTGGGGCCACTGTCCTGGGGCCCGTGCCGGGCTGGAGCCAGAGCCGCCGGGGCCGCTCAGCCAGGGCGGACTGGGCCGCGCTGCGCCTCCCAGGAGCCCTCCTCGTGCGCCGCCGTCCCCTTACGTGGTG